GGCGATCCAGTAATAGCCCAGGATTTGCTCCTCGGGAATGACCACATCATTGTTCTGTGGTTCACCCAATTCTTCATCCTCGGGGATTTGCAGCTGTGCTAGAGCCTCCTCCGCAGCCAGTCGCGCCTTTAATGCCCGCTTGAAGTTCCTACAAGTCCGTTCAAGCTCTTCGTCTAATGGTAGTAAATCTCCCGACTCGATACGGGGAATGCACTACCTGCACACAGAATGCAAACGCAACCCATGAAGGCACAAATGTGGAAGAGAGAGAATGCAGTAAAGAAAAAGCTAGAGTAACAAACTATCACGTTTCCGCAATAACCTAGAAGTCCCCGGCAACGGCGCCAGAAACTTGACACGCTAAAACACAACATCAAACTGCGACCAAGTGTAATCGCATTCCGGAAATGCAGTAAAGTGGCAAGCTCTATTTGTCAACCCGGGGTCTAGATCTACTGCCTACTCCGTGATTATCTATTATCTAGCAAACTAAGTCGAGTGATTTTGATTTTAAGTAAAAGTAGTAAGAAAGCAGGAAATGGTTCAAAGTTCATTAGCAAGGGAAGAGTCACTCGGGAATGAATCCCCCTAGCTCCTTAGTTAGGTAAAGGTTGTAATTACCCTGGGTTGATTAACTGTTGATTAGACTGCGAAAGATCCGACAGTAGCTTGGAATCTCTTAAGCTGACCAAGCCCTCTCAGGCAGACTAACCGGTAGGCGACTAACCTCACCTGGATTCCAGTACAAAGCAGTAAATTGATTAACTTTCGTATAACCAATCTACCACTACCGATTGATGAAGCTCTAACAACCTAATCAGATTCTATCTATCTCAGGTTGCAGCAGAAATGAGGAAAAGATGATCATGGTTCAATTGACTCAATGAATCATACATCAATCGATTAAAATCAATCAGTATACCAATCCAAAGTCATTACAATCAGGATTCCTAACACAAGGAACTAGGGTTCTTCATACCCAAATGAGAGAAGGTTCTACTCCATAGAGAGAGAGAGAGGAAAACAGAAATCAGAGTAGTCATACCCATATAGATGAGGATAATCTACTCTGGGATGTCGATCTTCACTCCTGGGGATACAATCTAGGCTTCGATGGTGAGAAATCCACTTCAAATAGCTCCTAGGGTTTGTTCTTCGCACCTTCTCTCTCTAAAGCTCTATTTTTTGCTCAAAAACTCGATTTCCCCAAAATATGAGCTCCTCGCCAAATAAAACCCGCACAGGTGCAAAACACGGCCTCTAAGCCCAAAAACACGACCGTGTTTTAATCACAACAGGCCGGGTTTTTTGAATGGCGATTTTGTGGAGGGCTGAGGAAAAACACGGCCTCTAGCACAAGGCCGTGTTTTTCACACCTGAGGCCGTGTTTGAGGGTGTGTTTTTCAATAGCTCTGCTGCCCGTTGTCGCGATCGACTTGCTTTCACCTCCAAATATCCTGAAACTCGTCCCAAGGTCATATCTACGTACAAGACATTTGCGAACACAACCTAGGGTAAAATAGGCCAAGGAATGACCAATCACTAAGCTAAACGATCAAGACATTTGCGAATACGATGTTATCACGTGTTGGATAGCCGTGTCAGGATAGGTAATTTGTGTAGTGTCGATCACTCTTACCCTTTTGTGGGCTCGAAAAGCTATGTAAAAAGGTGCTCTATTTTGAATATGTAAATGAGTGTTTCATGTGAGTTGCCAGCCGGTCAAAATACTTAATAAAAATCCCAATTGGTTTATCTTAGGGACCGAAGTGTGCTTTAAGGATGTGTAATGGAGACAAAGATACATCATCCAACCTTCACCTGCTACTTCTCAACCTCCCTTCACCTCTCCTCAACACGAGACTTGATAGCGGAGATATTGTTTCTTTTTCTAAAGTATAGAGACACGTGTTTTTGAAGAAAAAATCTCACATGTTGTGGCAACTTATCAATAACTTAGGATGATCACTTTAGATTTTCTCTAAGGATGGGAGTGCATACTAGGAAATTGTGTAAGTGAGACTAAAATATTGTTTCCAACCTTCACATACTACTCTCCATCCTCACTTACACCTCTTTTTGCATGGACGAGATAGATGAGTGGATGTCATTTCTCTTTTGGTCACTAGATTGTGCAACATTGGACAACCAAAGCCAAAAGAGGTTCGAAAGCTTGAAGCTCTCTATGAAGACAACTAAACCAAGTCCATGGGCGTTTTGAGAGTCTATGCATTTATAAGTTGCATGTCCTAGCTCAATTTTGCATGCTATTCTGTGAGTCTAGTGAGTTAGACTAGTTTGAGTATGGGTTGCTTGGGGAAAAGCAAATGTTAAGTGTGGGAAAGTTTGATAATGGCATATTTATACATGTTTGGATCCCCATTTCTTGATTGTGTGACTTGGTTTTAGTATTTTCAATCTAGGTTGTGCTTCTTTTTTCATATTTTAGGTCGTAATACGTGGATGAAGTTTAGAAGCGAGTTTTGGAATGATTGGACGTCAAAACATGCCAAGAGTGATTACAGGAGGCCATGTTACGGCCTGGGAGCCCATTTCTTGGCTTAAGCCATGATATTCATCACAAAACAATGAAATGCCCGAAAAATTACAAGAGCTCTGCCTCATCTTCTCGCAGTCTCTTTCATGGCCAGCACCCAAGTCTCGACTTAAGAAGTGACTTACCTGATTCATGAATTGACATGGGCTTTAATGAAACAGTGACTTTGGATCTCACGACTTAAGTCATGACCGTAAAACGAGTTCAGCTGGCACTTTGAAGGGGATCCGACTTTTGACATCAGAAAGACAGTTTTGAGAGTTCCATATAAATAAAGTGATGAAGAGGGCACCCTTGGACCTGATTTGAGCCATCATTCCACCATTGGACCTCAAGTTCTATCCCTTCGAGTGAAGATCAACATGGAGAAGCATTTTTCTGATGTTCACATGAGAATGACTAACTCTTACCCTATTTTCCTCTCTCTCTCTCTCTCTCTCTCTCTCACTCTCTCTATTGAGTAATTCACTCTCTCACTTGGGTATGAAGAACCCTAGTTCTCTGTAGGGATGACAATGGGGCGGGTTTGTAGCGGGTTTGCCTAAACCATCCCCATCCCCGCTTTCAAATATCTATACCCATACCCGACCCATACCCATGCGGGGTAAGGTTTTGCAAACCAATCTCCATACCCATGGGTTTCGGGTACCCATGGGAAATACCCGCCCCATACGTCCAGAATTGTAATACCGAATATTTTACATGCAAATTATCAATTATAACATTAAACGCACCTACTATATCATCAAGTTGACAAAGAGACAATCATTTTTAATACGATTCAAAGCATATTATCCTAAAACATCCATTAATCCATATCAGAGTAGAGTACAATGTCATCCAAATCATTGTTCTCTACTCTAATACATCTATTAAGTAATAATTAACTAACGTAATTTTCTTAACAAGGGGAAAAAGTGAAAGAGTGAAGGGAAAATTGAGAGAAAGAAATTAGATTTTGATTTGGGTGGCCACTCAATTACATTTCTACTATATATTTTTTTAAGTTATAGACACTATTATTGATAGGTTACAAACTAATTCACATATTTTTCATATATGAATAAATATTTTTGGTGGGGCGTGTATGGGTACGGGTATGGGGCGGGGGAGGCTATAACCATACCCGTCCCATACCCATCAAACTTTTTGTGGGTTTTACCCATACCCAACCCATATCCGGTCAATGTGGGGATTCCTCGTGAAGTGAATCCCACTAAAAGAAAGATGGATTATGGGAGTGTTGCATCCTCTGTATTACCGCGGCTGCTGGCACAGAGTTAGCCGATGCTTATTCCCCAGATACCGTCATTGCTTCTTCTCCTGGGAAAAGTAACACCCCAACTTTTGGGTTCAGGTTCGACCGTAATAAATAATCGGTCGGAGTCTGGTCACGACTAAGAGTTGCAACCACGGGTTAGCAATAATAATAATAATAACTATTATATTATTATTTAAAGAAAAATAAATACATAAATCAAAATTAGCGGGCGGCCAAAAGGCCAGGCACCTCCACTCCCCGCCCCACCTTTCATAATTCCCCAGAAAACCAAACTACTCCCCAATTCCCAAATTAATTCCCTAGGGAGCCAATCCCCCCGCCACCAGCACTCGCCCCAGCGAGACCGAGAAGGAAAAGAAAAGGAAGGGAGCGCCGGCTTCCCCATCTCGACCCCGATTTCCTGACCCCGATCCCTACCCTTTCGTGTTTCTAGATAAGGATCATGAACCCTTTCGCGATTCCAAACTCGATTCATCAATAATCTAATTCGAAACTCGTATTTATGTACTCTAGCGTTTGCGGCGAAATCTAAGGGTTTAATCATGGATCAACGAGTAGATGAACGTCCCGGGCATCCAACCTAGTCCTAGGCACGTTCTAGAGGTAAGGGAACTCAATCCCTTTGAGTAAGATCGATCGATTTGGTGATTTTTCGTGAGTGTGCAATTCTGAGTTTTTAGCAACAGACTTTATAGGCTTTTAGTGACAACTTTATTAGTGGTCACTAAAGCGACAGAAAATTTCCAGAAACATATTTTTAGATGTTTTAAGGGCTAATACCACTGGGAAACCGAACTGTTAACTTTGTGCCATTTGTGTCCTAAAGTATTCGATATGACAATTGTGTCCCAAAGTTTGGTAGTTTTGTGTCATTTACGTCCTGACAATTTCCTTGACCGTTATAGATAACGGTTGACCAAACGGTCAACCATAAAATGTTGACTGTTGGTTACATGGCAAATATGTGGCAGCCACATCTGCGCCACTGTCAGCTGCCACATCAGATTATTATTTTTAAGTTAAAATTAAAATTAAATAAAAATAAAAGCTAATCCCTTTCTTCCTCATCTCAGATTCACCATAGCCGCTCAAATTTTGAAACACGATGGACACGGGAAAGATTCTGTTCAACCTCGCTACAAAGAAGGAATTGTGTGTGGGAGATCGATCCACTGGCCCTCCCCAATCATGACCCTGCAATCCCGCTCCTCGCCCTTCCCGCCGCCGCGGCCTGACCTAGCTGCTCGTCCTCCCCTTGCGCTCCTCCCTCCGTCAGAGCGAGAACAAGCTTGCTCCTACCTCCGCCAATTCCAAATCGACTGTGCTGGTGGGAGACCCTTCTTCATCCTCTGTGAAAATAACAACACAATCAATAGGGCCTTTCCGGACTCGGAGACCCGCCGGACGACATTGGTGTTGAAGAGACAGGAGGAAGATGGAGCGGCGGCTCCCATCAGGCGATGAAGGCTGGGGAAGGTGTATGTGGCTGACCGAGGTCGGGAAACCTTCCAAACCGTCGACGAAGAGACGGAGGGAAGCTCGTACCCATTCCAAATCTCGGACCCCTTCCAAATCGTCGCGTCGTTGCAGATCTAATTTCAACGCCGCCATTTCTTGGTTTCATTGGATCAGGGTTTCATGGGTTTCATTCGATCTGTAGCAGCGGCGAGGCTTCAACGGGAGCAGCGGTTTCAGGTTGCATCGGTCGAGAAGTGGAATGGAAGTAGTGGTTTTCAGGTTGCGGTGATAGAGAAGTGGAATGGAAGTAGTGTTTTACAGGTGCGGCGGCGGAGGTTGGGAGAAGGGAGAGGGAAGGGTAAGCCTCGCCCTCTGGTGTTTTCAATCCCTGAGAACCCTAAAGAGGAAGAAGAGGAAGAAGGGGAAGAGGAATGGATTGTCAATTCTTCGTCAATTCCTTCGGCGACAAATTTTGTCTCAAAACATAATCCACAAATCATATATGTTTTTTTTTATTTTTTTAATTTTCTTTTTTTTATATGAAAAATAATTATAAATTAATATTATAAATTCCACTTCAGATGCCACATCAGCACTTACTGGATTTTCTGTTAAAAACTAACGGTCAACGCCGGTCAACTCTAACGGAGAAATAGTTTAGGACACAATTGTCATATTGAATACTTTAGGACACAAATGGCACAAAGTTAATAGTTCGAGTTTCCTAGTGGTATTAGCCCATGTTTTAATTGTTTCGAGGCTCTGTGGGAGATAGTTTCTGGGTTTAACAAATTTATAAATTGTGGGAGGTCTAGAAGATGTCTGTAATTGAATTTAGTGATTTTTAAGATGTATTTCTATTTTTAGAAATTGTTTGAATTTTTATTTTAATTGAATAAAAATCTTGTCTACGGGTTTTTAAGGGTTTGATAATTTTCCAGGTTATAAGTGCTCGTGGTTGACATGGAAAAAGTATTATCCAAATTTTTAATATGGTTCAAGTTAGGTGAAAAATTCGTCCAAGACAAAAATAATTAGAAAAAATGGTCGGTTTTGAAGGGATAATTATACAAAAAAAATCATAGGGGGTTAAGGGACCTTTGGAACATGGCCTGGGGACTGGCTTTTGAGGATATGATGTTCTAGTGACTCAAAAGGGAATTTTAAATCGAGAAAGGTCGACTAAGAAGATGGCATTCTTATTAATTGGTTCACCAAGACAATTAGGCTAGGAGGGATTTCTTCGAGTAAGGAATCTAGGAGTCATCTTTTCAAGGTGAGTGTAAGGGGGTAAATTCTACGCCTTACGTGTTCTTTCAAGTATTATGAGCTTTACGTATTTTGATGAAGTGATTGTTACTGCTTGTTTGTGTTTGTGATTGGTGATATGTGCGTGGTTTGAGCTTTGCTTGAAACGATTATGTATGAGTTATTATTTACTTTAAAGCTTTATATTTATGAGTTGTTGTTGAGGTTTAAGAAACAAGTTTCTTTTTAAGTAGTACTTCACCTTCAAAAGGTGGAGTCATTTTAAGATTTTTAGACACTAACTCTAGTCCGTTGCCGTTTAAGATTTTGAGATGAGAAACAGTTATGCTTTTGAGATATTTTAAGATGAGCAGCAGCTATGCTCTTGAGAATCGTGGCGAAGAGTCACCACGGTTAGTTTAAGATGTTAGGGGATGAATCGTTAGGAATTCCCAAACTAAGTTTAAGTTTAAGCAAAGCCTGTATGACTTCTCATACGTATGAGTTGGCAACCGGACTAGCTAGTGAGGGATCCCAGTGCCAGTCAAATATTTAAGTCGAGATTTGAGCTTTAAGAATAAATCTTAAAGAGTGTAAGTATCATCCACCAGTTTAACTTACGTTCTTAAGTAAGAAGTACTAGAGATTTCAAACGTAAGGGCGTAGACTGACCCCAACTCATTCACCAAATCGTAGAGGAGTAGATCATCACCAGCCAATCCGCGATCAGCAAGCTACAGTAGCTCAACACCACCGTCGCTGAGGGATGTCGAGCCAGGCGTCAGAGTAAGCATCGAAGAACTCATTAAGTTATTTAGACTTTCAGGTTATGCGTTTAAGACTGGAGATTCATTTATTTTGTTTCTTTTAAGAGTATGCTTTAAGTTTTGCCCATGTGTTTAGGGCTTCGCTTTGAGATATTAAGATATTTGATATTGGTATTTTATTTAAAGTTATGTTATTTGAAGATTTTGAATATACCTCAGGGGGGTAGAAATTTCTTTTTCCAAGTTCAAAGTAGTGGGATGTTTCATTTTGGTATCAGAGCCGGTCTTTCTCTGTTTCTTGGGCCCCAAGGAATACTAGAATATCGGTCTCCATTTTTAAAGATTTTGTTTTTAAAGATTTCAAGTCAAAGTTTGCCCAAACAAGTCAAGAATTTCTTTTAAGAATTTAGAATCTCCAGTCTACTCTAAACCATATTAAGGAAGAAATAACTGAATTCTAACGAGACCCTATGTGTCTACAGTGCAAGTGTTGGGTGAATCCCACACCACCTGTGCCACCACCAATGAGACCTCCACCAGACTATGTAGCTTTCCGGAAGAGAAAGGTGGAAGATTTTAAGGGGGGGGGGGGGGGGAGCGCTCAATGGACCCTATGAAAGTAGAGCAGTGGCTAGCCAAGGTCACTCTTACTCTGATCGAGATGAGGGCTGATGACGAGGACAGAGTACTGCTGATAGTGTCCTTGCTGCATGATGCTGCATACAACTGGTGGACTACCCAACCAGAGCTAGTCGAGAGGACCCACCAGCCATCAGTTGGCCAGAGGTCGTGCAGCTATTCGAAGACCACTTCATACCAGAGGCCTACCGGATCGGGAAGCAGAGGGAATTTTTGTTAATCAGGCAGATGTAGGGCAGTGAAGGCAGGAAAAGCGTGACTAATTACACGGCCAGGTTTGACAAGCTACTTAACTATGGAGGGCCTCAATTTCAGGATGTATCAGCTCAACGCACCCATTACCTGAAGAGCCTGAAACCTGCTTTTAGGCGCCAGCTGAGTATACTGAGTTGTAACAACAGGGAAGAGATCTATCAGGCAGCTCTTCGGATGGAGAGGGTGGATACAACTCTGCACGAGGAGGGGATGCAACAAGAAGGGAACAAGAGAAAGGCTGCTAGCCTGTTTGATGGGTCAGGAAAGCCGAGTCGACAGAGAAGGAGACCATCCCAGAGCTACTATACCCAGAGTCAGGCCGGCTCAACCAGATCAAGGTCGACCTACATTCATCGGGACCCATGCAACCAGTGTCGGAGAACTCACCCGGGAGAGTGTAAGGTGCACCTGGGAGGCATCTGCTATCACTGCAACAAGTCGGGACACTATGCTAGAGATTGACCTAGGAGAGGAGGGCAATGGAGAGCCCATTCCAAACAATCAGTCCGGGGCGGAGTAGGAAGAACTCAGACCGGAAAGCAGTTTGGCTACTAGCCAAACCGGTCCTATCACTAGTAGGGAGGTAATGCAGGGCAGTTCAACCGCAATGAGTGAGATCGAGGGCAAGGATCTCAAGCATTTGGGCAACCAAGACTGTTTTGCATGAGGAGAGAAGAAGCTGACGATGCACCTGATGTGGTGAATGGTATGATCTCACTTTACCAGCAGCCTGCTTTTGTATTGTTTGATTCCGGTTCCACACACTCTTTCATTTCTAGCAAGTTTGCTAGAACCTTAGGAATTCCATTTGTGAGGTTGGGGCAGAATTTAGGGGTAAGAACCCCAGAGGGGGATACCCTTACATTAGACTCAGTCATTCGGGGTTGTCTTATCACCGTTGCGGGGCACGAATTTGAGGCAAACTTGATTCTACTACCCTTCGACGTGTTCGATGTTATCTTCGGTATGGATTAACTATCAAAGAATAGAGCGAAGGTGGACTGCTACAAGAAGGAGGTTAGTCTGGAGATAGACGGAAAGGGCACTTCATTGTTCAAAGGGACTAAGAAACTTATTCATGGATGCTTAATCTCCGCGGTTATTCATGGATGTTTGTTTCTGGATTTAACAATTTTATAAATTGTGGGAGTTCTAGGAGATGGCTATAATTTAATTTGGAGTTTATGAAGATGTATTTCTATTTTTAGAAATTTTTTGAATTATATTTTAATTAAATAAAAATCTTTCTGAGGGGTTTTTAAGGGTTTGATAATTTTCCAGGATATACGTGCTCATGATTGACATGGAAAAATATGTATCCAAATTTTTAAGATTGTTCAAGTTAGGTGAAAAATTCACCCAAGACAAAAATAATTAGGAAAAATGGTCGGTTTGAAGCGATTAATTCTAGAAAACTTTTAAAGGCGATTAAGGGACCTTTGGAACGACGCTTGGGGACTGGATTTTTAGGATATTATGTTCTAGTGATTCAAAAGGGAATTTTCAATCGAGAAAGGTCGACTAAGGAGATGGCCTTCTTATTAATACGTTCACCGAGATAATTCGGCTAGGAGGGATTTCTTCGAGTAAGGAATCGAGAAGCCATCTTTTCATGGTGAGTGTGAAGGGGGCAAATTCTAAGCCTTACGTGTTCTTTCAAGTATTACGAGCTTTAAGTATTTTGATGAATTTATTGTTACTGCTTGATTGTGTTTGTGATATGTGTGTGGTTTGAGCTTTGCTTGAAGCGATTATGTATGAGTTATTGTTTACTTTAAACCTTTATATTTATGAGTTGTTGTTAAGGTTTAAGAAACAAGTTTCCTTTTAAGTAGTACTTCACCTTCAAAAGGTGGAGTCATTTTAAGAGTTTTAGTCACTAGTGCCAGTCCGAGTTTTTGAGATGAGCATCATTTATGCTCTCGAGATATTTTAAGATGAGCAGCAACTATGCTCTTGAGAATCGTGGTGAAGAGCCACCACGATTAGTTTAAGATGTTAGGGGGATGAATCATTACGACTTTCCTAACTAAGTTTAAGTTTAAGAAAAGCCTGTACGGCTTCTCATACGTATGAGTTGGCAACCGAACTAGCTAGTGAGGGATCCCAGTGTCAGTCAAATATTTAAGTTGAGATTTGAGCTTTAAGAATAAATTTTAAAGAGTGGAAGTATCATCCACCATTTAACTTAAGTTCTTAAGTAAGAAGTACTAGAGATTTCAAACGTAAGGGCGTAGACTGACCCCAACTCACTCACCAGATCGTAGAGGAGTAGATCATCACCAGCCAGTCCGCGATCAGCAAGCTAGA